GTGCTTTTCTGCTTCATTTTTTTTAAAGGATTGCACGTGTTATCAGTGTTTATATAAAAGTTTTTGTTTTAGTAAATTTTAATTTATGGTCGTTTAAAGTTCATTATTTAATTTTTTCATTGCTGAAATATAATTCCTATCTTTATATGCGAGTATTAGGTAAAAATAGAAAAATTTCACTCTCAGTTCAGAATTCCGTAAAGAAAATTATTTTAATGTTTAGAGAAATTTAAAAAAAAACTGGAGAGTTTTTTTGTTTTCTTGATTGCGTTTGAAGGTAGTAAGGCAGTAATTATAATTACGACATTAGTTATAACAGGGCTGTCCAGCCCGGATGCGATCGCGGGCAAATACAAATCATTGTACTTATTAGAGGGCCACAGAAACAAATACACACGTTCATAGTTATTTTCGAATAAATGTTAAATTTAGTTTTATTAATTTATCAACTTATATGGATGTGTAGCGTTTAGCAACCCCTCAAACAATATTATTCGCCAGCTAGAAATTGCACAAAGCCAGGCTCTAAAAAGACTTTTCAAGGTACCATGGAACATTACGACGAATGACATCCTCAAGGACCTCAAGATTGATCCGATGAAAAAATACATAAAGGATAGAGTCCTGAAATTATTTACGAAAACTGACAGACTTACCAAGACCGCGTTATCGAATATTAGAATTGTTACAGGCTCTCCGGGGAGGTGTGCAGATCTGAGGCCAAATATTGTTTAGTCTAATGAAGTGATAAAGAATAATCCAGTCAAGTTGTAAAGAGGGGTTTTGAAAATACCTCGAGTTAAGAAAGAGTACAAGTGCTCAAATACACTGGCTCAAATAGCTTCAACATAAATAAATTCATTTATTTGGTATACCATAAAAATAAAATAATGTAGTTTAACCATTACGCCAAAAGAAAATTTGCGTAATTGTAGTAGATTAAAAATATGTTGCGGGCCGCACAAGCATTAGCCGCATGCCGCATATACACGAACCATATGCTGGGCTGTTCAAAGCCGTACTTTGGACAGCCCTGAGGTATAATATTGGATAGTATTCCAATACATTTCGTTGCTCTTTCAATGGAATTAAATGGTCTTAGTATTGAGAATCAAACAATTATTTGTTTGAGTATTGTTATAGTAAGTTACTTTCTTACAAAATGAATTTTAAAGTTTATAATTAAAATTTAGTTACTTTCATTTTTGATGCAAGTATTAATTAAAATTTCGTCTGACGTAATTATAAATGTAACTTTAATATTCTTTTAAATTAAGAATATTTTACAACTTTATAAAATCTAAAAAAACATCAACATCATAAAAACATTCAGCTTATATCTTATTTAATAGCTAATTTCAAAGGATAAACGAAATAACGCTATTGGTTTAATAATATTGTAATGATATCCTGTCCAATTTATTGTATGACATCATCATCAACATTAACGGCTACAATAGCAGTTTTATTGTCAACAGGCTTTGTTTGAGCTTTGGGAATAATAAACGAAAATTTATCTGTAAATTCTATTTCACAAATTTTAAAAATAAAAAAAAATTCTAGAGATTCCGAATTGCTTTACCCAAAGTGAAGAGTTAATAAATTAAGGTATTTTTTTGCATTGCAACCCTTTTGCTATATATATTTTGTGTCCTTTGAAGTTAAAGGGGTTATCTACAACGCGAAATATTGTTAGGCTTAATTTTGCTGCTCTACGCACTCAAAGAATTAGATTGTTAGATTTTTTGATAAATTTGTGCAACGAAATGTAGTGCCGAAGATTTGTTGCTGCGACTTTGTGAAGTTATTTAGTAGGAAGTAATTTAAACAGACTTTTAAAGAAAATTTTAATATTATATGAAAAATAATTTTCAATAATAGATCGAACGAAATCTAATAATTATTAGCATTGTTCTCTATCAAAATATTGTATATTGTATAATCTCCCTTCACCTTAGTTAAGGTTTTTGGTAATAATAAAGTACTATAGATATGCAGTTATAGAACTGGTATAAGGTTTTATCTTGCATGAGGCGATTTTATCATATTGTTTGTACCAAAAATTGTAACGTTTTCCAATAGTCGTATATATACTACAGCACATTTTTCTTATGTTCTATGATTAGATTTAAGAAGAAGCTGCGAACTATGTCACCACGTCACTGTATCTTTAAGAATTATTATGACAGACCCATTTTAGTTCTATATGCGCCATTATTTTAGTTAAAAATGTCATTATATCCCTTGGAGAGATATTACCTATTTCCAATATAATTGGATAGGCAGTTGATAAGTGCCGAAGTCTGAGTCCAGCGAGACTATCACAGTGACACAGAATGTGTTCTGCTGTTTCCTCTCTTTCCTCTTTTGCTTCACAAAGTCTGCAGCTATCATCTCTTATGATACCTTGATTCCATAGATTCTTCTTAACTCCGCAATGTCGAGTGAGAAACCCGAATACCTTTCCTGCATTAGCAGCTACCTTGTTTTAGCTTTTGAGCGATTTGGCATGAATTCTTTAACTTGTCTGTAGTTACATTATCCCAATTATTCTAAGCTGCTCTTTCCAGCCGCTATTATATGATAAGTTTAGTATTTAATTGTGTCATATAAGCTATTTCTATTTTTATTTCTATCTATCACCAATACTTTGTCTTTTCGATACTATTGTTTGTAATCGGTATCTGTCGATTTTTGTCACTAGATGGTGTTGGTATTCATATATCTGACAACACTAAACCAATTATCTTAAAAGCTGATATTCTTGTCATATCTTGTTACATTACCTACACATAAAAGTAATATGTCCAACAGGTTTTATATTGTGTTTGATATATACTATAATTGAAAATGGTAGGAACCAAACATTTTTGTCGTAACATATATAAAGGTGTTGATTTTAAATACTAATATAAAAATATATAAAAAATAATATATATGAAAAAGTCTATAAAATATTATCTAAATATAGCGTGTCGAAAAGTCTTAAAAGATTTTGTTTTTAAGTTTTTTAAAATTTTTCTCTAAATTAAGAACAAATTTATTGCCATAATTCAATGCTATATTTTTGTTTGTCTTTTTTTTAAGAATGGACTTATTAAATCATTTGTTTTTTACTTTTATCGCTCGGCCATGATTATTATAGCCACTTAAATAAATATGATACCCATTAAAATGTCTTTTGTATTTTTATAATTTTACGAAACTTTGTGGTAATTATTTTTGTTAATTACTGCTGCAGATTGATAGTTACTTGGAAATTATGTTGTAACTGCTGGAATTTATTATTAGAACTTCCACGCCGCATTATTATTTTCTAAATTACATTTTTAAGTATTTAAAAATGATTAAAAAAAACAAATCTTATGCTATATAAATTAATTAATATTAGTGCTTGCGCTTCAAGGCTTCTAAGAGTTATCTGACTGCCTTCAAATAAGTATCTGCATCAAGAAGAATGATTTTCTATGCCCTCTAGCAATTATTGAAGATTAACAACTTGGCCACTTGCTGTTTACATTCACCATAATTAATTGTTATTTGTTAACTAATCGCATTTGTATTTATGAGATTTAGCCAATGGTTAGAACATGTAAATAGACGCACACCCCCTCACTGTGCAAAGGACAAAAGATACATAAATACAACGAGCCCAAATCGTTAACGTTTGACATTTAACATAAGGAAATCTGCGTTGGGTAAATGCGTGTATCTACATTGACCAGATATGTGAGTTTCCTGCCATTGAACTGCATAATTGCTATTAGACAGTTTATCTGATATTTGTTCACTTTTATTGATTCTTTGTTGTTGATTCACATGTAACTAGGATGCGTTTACATTGTTAAGATTCTCTAAGGAAAATGATTAATTACTTCATTTTCCCTCCAATTAAAATTTACACAATTTCTGATTAATTACTTTTATGACATTTTTGTTTTGAAATTGGAGGCTTTCACTTTCACATTTGGTGGTCTATTTCAAATTTTCAGAAAACTTTCTTCTTGAAATTATAACTACAATGAAGTCTTATAGATTTGTACAAAAAATAATAAATAATGAAGAGTGGAAAGATTTCCACAATTGACGAATTTTCGTAGATTCAACTTATAATTCTACAATTTCTTAGTGTATATTATAATGGTATATCAAATGGTACATTATCTCGATTAATGTGAAATCGATCATATACACAATATTATTTTAATATCAAGCCAAACTTGTCACGTTTTTGAGTTAGTCTTCATATAAATTTCATTATGACCCCTGTTGTTCTTGTATTTCACTTATTGAAACCACATTGGCTTGTTCATTTATTTGGTAGAAATGATTTAAAAATCGACATAAGTAATTAAAAATTATTAAAGAGGCTACCAAGTTTTATTTTGAAAAGTTTGACAATAACTATTATTCTAATATATAAGTTTTGTCTAATTTAGACGTAGATAATAGTAGAGAAAATAAATTTAGTACAAATAGTAGAAAAAACTGGTTTTTATTCTTTTCTAAACATTGGCCATTAAAAATTAATTGAGAAATTCCATTACAGCAGTCTAAGGTAATATATTAATTTAATCAGGTGCGGTGAATATTTTGCTTTCAAATAAACAAGAATTTCCAAGAATAAACAAGAATATATGTTGGCTTCGATTGCTAAAATCTTGATATATTAAGATAGTTAACAATAGGAACAAATATAAAATTCAGGATCGTACAGTAATAAATTAAAGAGATATAAATGATAGTATTCTACTGAATTAGATTTAAAAGCGCGTGCTTACGCAAATGTCAGTAATTCAAATCTTAATGTTGCCTGGAAATTCTACTAAATGATGTACCTATATATAAGCTGTATGAGCCGTAACTCTTGTTTCTCTCCAATATATACAAAATATAAACTTATAGAAAGTTAATTTTCTAATACGCATAAGCTGGTCGATTTATTGTATTTTAAATAAATATAATGTTTTATTCATTTCACACATATGAGTTGTCCTCGAACTTTCACACAACTTTTTGACACATAAAAGCTCCTTCACATGCATAAATCAACTTATACCAATGGAAAGGACCAAATCTTAATTTGATTAACATAAATTGTTTTATCCGCAGAGGGGACCAATACCAAGCCTTATACCAAGGTTTCTGTACATTTCGCGAATTGTAGTGTGTTATATTAGAGATATTATTTTAAAAGAAGTTTTATCAATTTCACTCATATGTCAAGAGTAAAAATGTGGTTATGCTTACCCAACGTTTTTTAATCCATATCTTTTATTTTATACTATGTTTATTATGAAAACGAGTATAATACTTTGGTCCATGTCTGTAAGTTTTCGTCATATATCGTACATGTGACTATACAGGCAATATAGTAGCATAATTATGATCCCTGGTTATAGTACGTAGTCGTGATGATGATATTCACTAGTAGCTAAAGGTTAAAATATGTTTAACATAATATATGAGAAATTGCTTACTTAATTTTGGGCTACACGATGTCTTATCAGGTTTCAGCTTGATGCAATAGTTCTCTTCAAGTGCCTTTTTCAGTCTTATACAACAGGCGCTATAAGTGTCTAAACTTGATAGCTGAACATGATCTTCAACTTATTAGCTCCATCGGAGACCCGGTCTTTCTTCATGTCTTTTCCATTCAAATAGCGCTTCAAACACAGTTTTTGCTAGGGCACTGTCAGCCATTCCCACGATTTGAATAAACTAGTGATGTCAGTAAGTGTTGATTCGTTGCATAATGTTAATGTCGTAATAAAGCTCGTATACCTCAAGGTTTATTCGCATACGGTAATCGTTGACAACTCGTAGAGACCAAACTTCTTGTGAAGAAATTTTCTTTTGAACACCGGCAATGCTGTGACAGCGTCCATGTTCTGCATTATACAGAGTGAGTGATTTGAATGGCTATATTATATTTTATTAATTAAAGTGAAATATATTTGGATGAAGAGTAATCACCCATGAATAATATTTTTCGCAAGTGAATAATTTATGGTTTACCTTCTAGTGAAGCTTACGTTGTAGTAATTGAAAGTTTATTTTTTTTGTTAGTATAGATTTTATTTTTTTTATTAATTTTACAATATTAATTAATAAAAAAAATATAATTTATGCTTACATTTTTATCAAATACGATTTAAAAATAAAATATTTATATTTAAATTTTATAATTTTGTTAATACTGGCTTTTTAAAATTAGGTAAATGTGTATTAGTATCCACCGCAAATTTTGTATACAATGTGTACGTTTTTAAAATAAATCTATTCGTCTGTTGTTGAAATATAAGAATAAAACTATACAATTGGTTCTTTCCGCCTAATGGATGCATTGTGTACTTCCAGTAATTTTCTTTTTTGTTTGCGCTAAAAAGTGCATTTACGTTTTTGGTTGCCATCCATTAGCTAATTTTGAAATCATTCATTATTCTAGTGAAAAGCCGACACCGACTCTAGTTGCATCTTAGACTGTTATAAATACAAATAAAAATGATTAAATTTAATTAAAAAAGTAGACACGTTGAATTAATACCTAAATGCATTTCTTTTAAAAATAATAGTTCATATTTTAAATAGTTTTTGGAATAAAATATTTAACACTCCGCTGCCACCATTTTTGTTAGGTTTTTATTTTTCGTTAGGTTTTTATATTTCGTTAGGTTTTTATTTTTGTTTTAATGTTTTTGGATAAATCATAAATCAAGCCCGAATCAAAGATTACCGCAACTCTTCTATAAATAAACTGCTTTTTCCTTAAAAAAAAACAAAAACGATCATTTTATTTTCTGCTAAAGTAATAGTGATCCATTTAATTCTAATCTATACCTGCTCATAATATAGAATTATAAAACGATGTATAACAGATTACAGCTATATAAAATTATTCCTATTTATAACTAATTAAAAAAATATATAGACAAATTGGAATTGTATGTTAACCTGTGTTCAGACAAGAAATTTAATTTCTGTCTTTTTTGATTCAAAGTATACAGCATTGGAAGATAACTCTTACCATAACCTCTTAGCAATATTTTGAATATCAAAGTTTGAAGGGTTTAAGTTTTGGAAAAAATCACATGTTTAACTGTAATATATCACTCAATAAGTCGAGCGACTAATTAAGAAAAACCAGTAGTCGCTGTAGGCCAGATCTGGACTATACGGTGGATGAGGAAGCAATTCGAAGTATAATTCGTGCAATTTTGTCATCGTTTTTATTGACTTGTGACATGGTGCATGCCTTGATGAAACAAAATTTTCTTCTTCGCCATATGCGGTCGTTTTTTCAAAATTTCTGCTTTCAAACGATCCAGTAATGACGTGAAGTAGTTGCTATTGATAATTTTTCCCTTTTCGAGATAGTCAATGAAGATTATACCATGTGCATCCCAAAATACTGAAGTCATAACCTTCGCAGCTGACTGCGACTGTTGTGTCTTTGGACGCTTCGAACGTGGTTCACCGG